AAAATTTTATAAATGATTAACAAAGAAGGATTTTTTTTTTTATTAAGTTTAAAGTTTTATGAGGAAGAAAGGAAAGAATGTTTGCATTCATTTTCCTAGAGTTCTCGGCTTTCTGTTTGTTATTGGTGCTAGATGTATGGAGAGGTAAGGAAATGAGGTTATCGGTATCCTGAGAGTGAGACGTGCAGAGTGCAGCCTATTACTCAAATGAGAGTTGTGAAGTTGCAGTATTATCAGTAGATGTCTTTATTTATTTATTTATTTGTAAGATTGCAGCTCCTATAGGCAGCACAAGAACACCTTGACTTTTATTTTTAGAGGCTTTGTTTTCATTCTTTGCAAGGTTATGAGACTGCACAGATATGGAGAGAATCCGAAGAATGTGATATTTGTACCAGAAATCCTACAAATCTAAAGCCTGAGAACGACTCTCCCAGCATTTAAAATTACATTTGATTATTTATTAGGCTGTTCTGTTATATATCTAGGAGACTGATTTACAGCTCTCCGACTTTATGGCTCTTGAATGACGTCGTGACTGTGGCAGAAAAGCAGTCTGTGGAAATGTTGTGTCCTACCATAATCCAGAGGGGAAGGCTACATTGCTCAGGGCTCCCGCCTGTTCGGGTAGTTGTATATGAAATATGATGGGAATAAGGAACTTCAATTTATATTCATCAAGGAAATCCTCCAGTTTCTGGGGAGTTACTAATATGGCTTTTTGGGTCAGATTTCATACACCAACTGCGATAAATATTCTTTTACTGCTTTTGGCATATTTATAGCTGTCATAGTGTTGTGACAGCACTGTAGATAGCTACCCTTTGTGCCGAAAGCAGCCTAGATATAGCAGCAATGACTGCGCTTCAAGCTAAGTCCTAAATATTTATTGGCTTCCTGGGTTGATTTTACAGCCTTCACTGAGCTCCAGGCTTCTGTGGCTGGGCTGCTGTCAGTAGGAAAGAACTGGTTTAAGGATGGCTCAGGTGTGTGTGTGCTGCACGCCGTTGAGGACACTGATAGCAGCATAAACGCGTCATTTAGCATTCCTCAGGTCTGCATCAGTTTGCGTTAGGTGCTGCCTGTCAGCCACACACACACAGCAAAGGAAGGGGGTAAAAAGAGCCTATGTTTTAAAAGCCAGGGAAATATGAAGTAGCTGCCTCCATATTTCTCAACTGTGGGGCCATTTTTATCCAGAAAGCTGTGTTTGTGTTCCAAGACCACATGGACAAAAAACCTTTTCCCATGTGTCTCTGAAATGTAAGGATGAGTCTGCCCCAGGCACTGAAGGCCAATAAACTAATCATGGGCAGTAAGAGGTGGTAGGGAACAGCCTGCGTTTTCCTAGAAGCACAGGAGCAGCAGGTTGGGCAGGAGTTTGAAGACCAGCACAGCAAAAATTGAGATTAAACAGTTGAGCTTCCTCTGCAACTTCAGCCATACCCATTTACTTTTTCCTCTACTTTTTCTGTTAAGCCTCCTAGCTCCTCCTTAGCGGACTGCTGTTTTAAAATCACTCTGGAGTTTCTTGATTAGCTGTTTTACAGGAGAAGAGCAAAGCATTATTTTCAGCTGTAAATGAACACGATTAACATGCAGATTGCAATCAGTCTCTCTCCATCCTTAAGCACACGGTATGACCGCGTTTGTTCCACCACAAGAGCATGGTAGAGTGCATATAGCTCGCTGCCCTATGCTATGGGGTCAGATTTAAACTCTGTGATTTGCTTCATTTGTTACTGGAACTTGAGATGCAGTAATTTGTGGTAGCAACCAAAGTAGCAGTTGTGGATTCCAGTTTTCACTCATTCTGACCGGTACCTTCCTCCTTTTCTTTCTTTCTTCATCATGCAGCATTGAACACTATTTACTCAGCTGTGGCCTGGAGACAGGAAGGAGCAATGTGGTCATGCACCAAAACTGCCCTTGTTTATTCCAAGCAGCTCTTGGCAGACAATATGGTGCATGGGCAAATGTAATTTTCTGCATGGGCTTCACTGACCTTGCCGTAGGGAATAGGAAAACAGTCATCACAGCAAACTGTAGACACCTCCTAAGGTCTGCGGTGATCCCCCTTCCTGTGTAATAGGTACCCATCCGTAGTCTGAGAAATTGATATGATTTATTGGTCGGATGCCTGGGGTGTCTATGGGCTGAGCTGTGTTCTGGGCTGAAAGAGCCTGCCTGCGTGCTGCGATGACTCAGCTGAGGGTGCCCTCGCTCCAGGCACAAGCAGCGAGAAGGAAGGAGTAAAGAATGAGCTGCTTTCTTTACAGCAGGAACTTCTCTGCACCGCTTCAGCTCTGCGTGCAGTTCCCATCTTAACAGGCCTCTTGCTCAGAGACTGAAACTGCAATTAGTGAATTCATGTGTGCTGAGAATACACACCACCTGCCGATGTGCTGGCTGGAGAGGTCTCTGCCGCCCTTTCCCAAGGTCCTTTTGAGCAGACTTGTGCTTTAGCTGGATGTTGCTTTGTGGTTTTGTGATGGAGGAGTGAGGATGATGCTGTGACTCAGTACAAAGAGAAAGGAGAAAAAGACCTCATAAATGATTATTAAGTTTTAAAAATACATTAATTCCAGCAAGTGAGAGATCTCTATGCCTCAAAACTAATGCTTGCTTAGGGCCCAGTTACTCTTAAGATGCTGGAAGTCTCAGAGACTGTAAGGATGCATAAACAGGAATTTGAACTTAAGCAACCCAGAAATGTAAACTGAGCATTGGGTAAAGCTTCCAAATGGTGTGACTCCTTGAGGACCAATGTGTAAACTTTTTAGAAAAAGATTAAGATTTTAATGCTCAGCATTATTCAAAGCTAGATTTAGAAAGCCTTCACGAGTAGCTGTTAGAGGCCCATGCCATTCTCTTCGATTATAGCAAAGTGTCTGTTTCTAAAGAGCCTTTTTATGCCCAGCTTCTCTGGTTTCCCTAACCAGCTCCATGTGCTGAGCTAGCTGAGGATGACTTCATGAAGCTTGCATGTACCTTAACTGCTCAGATTGCTTCTTTAAGAACTTAGGACCAAAATCTCTACTGCTATAAATGAATGTTGGATTAACAAAATAACTGAGAAGAGTCTTTTTTTCTCCATGTTGTTTCACAAAATAGAAATAGTTGGCTGAAAAATTGCAAGTAGCAACTTCCGAGCTCAGATATATGCTGACATATATGCAAACATCTGCAATGAAGGGCAGCCTCTGAACTGTGCTTTAGTAAGAAATGACAATAGAAAAATGTTACAGTGCCCTCCATATTCTCTGAGACATCTGCCATTTCAGCGCAGTCACAGAAATTGAATTCATCTCAGTGCTCCTATCTGGGAAGAAGAGAGATTCTGATGTACTTACCCGTATAGCAGAATAGGATGCACAGATCCCTGCAGTGCTGTTGCAGTTCAGCACAGGCTGGGACCTCCTTCTGTTACAGCAGATTTCTGGCTGCAGAGTTGGCTTTTCCAGGCAGTGCAATTTTTTTTTTTTCGACTCATTATTCAAAATAATCTCTTCATAGCATGACCCTAAATCTGAGGTGCTTCATGAGATAGAATGTCCTCCTGAGAGCAGTGCAAAGTATGGAATTCTAGACAGCATCCATAATGGATGTTGAAGAGCCTGATGACAGTGTTTTTCAGCTCTAGAGTTTCCTGAACAGAAGAGAGAAGTATTAGATCTTTCCTTTTTTTCCTCCACTTCCCTTGCTAGTAATGTAGGCATAGGAAAAGTCTGTAGCCTGATGTTGATGACAGTCATCCTGCAATGTTTCAATAGTCAGCATTGAAAACATTACTTTGGCTGTGCTGGATGTCACAGTGAAATGTCCTTTGCTATTGAATATCTGCCTCTTGAAACAGGCAGAAGTGTAGCATTCTCTCTCCTAGTTTTGTGGAACTATCATGCTTTGAGATATGAAGAAGTTGTGGCTATCACCTGGAATGAGGTTGATTATTTGGATGGGAGTTTTGGGGCTAAGGAAGGCTAAGATGTGTCCGTGGTAACAGACCTGACGTTCTGTACCTCAGCCCTCGTGCCTGTGCCCTTTGGATTCCCTCCCTGACTACTGCTTGGCTCTACTTCCACCCCTGGCTCTTTCTTCCATACTTGACATTCTTCTGTATATGGAAGTACTGCAAAATTGCTGCTGTTCAGCTAGTCGTCTCCGTAAGCCCAGTCCACAGGCTTTTGGACTGTGAACATACAATCATGTAGGGCTTTTTGACATCAGTATGTTTCCATTCCCCTGGGATCCTATAAAGTTCCCTAAGATTCACCTCTATGACTCCTGCTGAACCACAGAGAGCTTTCTTGACCAGTCTTTCACAAAGCAGCTCCCTAAAACATGAATCATTTGATTGCTTTTCTTGTGTTTTTTGGATCTTTGTTCTGTGCTTCCTATAATAGAGTGACCAGATTCGTACACGTTATTCCAGAAGAGACCGTCCAGCTGCCTTACCAAATGCCAAAGTAATAACGTCTGTGGTTTATACACTGTAGCCTTCCATATACAACCCCAAAACCTTGTTTGCCTTTGTTACTGCTGCCAGATGTTCTGTGGACGGTTTTCAGGCTCATTGTGGTGAATGTCGCCTTGCCAGTGAATTTCAGCAAATTTAAGCAACTTTGAAATGATTCGTTTTTCCACATGGTTATATTCAAGTCAAACCAAACCGTGTTGTCACTTGAAACTGCCCGGTTTTGGTTACCTCTTTTTCACACTGAATCACCGCTACCTGTTACCGGTTTCTCTGAGGGAAGCTCTTCAAGAGCATTTCCCCTTTATCAGGCCCCTTTCCAATTGCCTGGGTCACTGGCAACTCCTATCTGCAGAGCCCAGCTCTGAGGGCCTGGGGGATAAGGCTAGCAGTTTTGGTGTCAGAAGTATTGAGTCTGCTTGAATTGAGAAGAGAAGAGAGCTTGATTTTTTTCCTAGAAATGAAACAAGGGGAGGGAACAACCTGTAAGAGAATTCTGATGTTCTCACCTCTCTTTTTCCTGCAGATTTGCTGACAGCACAGGAATACCACTGCCTGCTGCAGCTGCTCTGCCCTGACTTCCCAATGGAACTCACCCAGAAAGCAGCAAGGTGGGTCCTCATCGACTCTTTTAAGGCAAGATCTGCCCTACACACATGGACTTAGGAACTAGATCTGTGGGTAAAGATATGAACAGGGACCTCCAGCTTTTAAGATTCTGGGGAAAAGCCATGTCATGATTTGAGATTAAGAACAGAGTGTTTTTTTTTCTAGCAATGATAAAGAATGTGTATTTATGGTATACAAAGACTGAAATATCAGCGCAGAATGCTGCTGTCATCTCTAAATTCAGCAGATGAGTTGCATATCAAAAATGTTAGTCAAAGTGGTTTTAACTGATACCATTTTAAACTCTATTTAAAATAGTTTACCATTTTAAAAATGTGTTCCTTCCTCTCCACCCTCCCCAGTTTCCTATGTTTGATCACATGTAAAAAAGGTACTAAACTCTGAAGGATTATTTTAAAGTACTGTAGCTAAGAACATGGTACCTAATTTGTTTGAAATTTTATTTTAATCTAGACAAGGCCTAAAGCAGATAGATGGCTCAGGGCACTGATAAGGTGATATGGGATTTTTTTGCTGTTAGTGCTTGCTGGTTCCAGTCCAGCCCAGGCAGTTGATTATTAACTATCTGATAGTGAAAATGTAATAAGGTATATGCATCTGTTGGGGTAGGGGGTCAGTTCAGATCTCAGTAGGAGCACACACACGTATACATAATCACAGCAAGATTACTAAGTACTTTCATTCCTAGCCATCTCAGTAGAGGGGGCATGGAAATTAAAGGCTTTTCATGGACCTAGATATAGCATTGGAAACAGAATCCCGGCGTGTGATCAGGATGATAGCTGCTGCCTGTGTTGCTCATGGCCTGCATAACGAAGAGGTCTTCATTTTCTGTCTTTGATGCTGAAGAAAGATAACAGAATGAGAGTCCCTTGAAAACTGTATTAAGAAAGGAGAATGAAAAAGTGTTATCCATCTGCTAGCACTTCCACTTGGCTGGTTCTCTGAATTCTTCCCAGGCTTCTCTGTTCTGCTCTCCGAACTGAACCGCAGTTAAAGCTGTGTTGCTTCAATTAATACTAAAAGAGGAGCGCTACCATTCCCTCTAGCTCATCAGCGGGCCTTCTGGGCTCTGCAGAGTACAGTTGCTTGGCCTCCAATGCTGGGCTAAGAAAGAATGCTGACCCTGTAGCAGGAATCTAGCCGCTGCTTCCTTTCATGGAGGTACTGCAGCACCAGTCCGATGTGCGGGTGTGCATTTCAGAGAGCTCCAGCTGAGCGGAGCAGGAATTTTTGATGGTGCATGAAAGGAGTCTTCAGCGTATCTACACATGTTATGATGTTTGTGTCAAGGAATTTAATCCACAAGGCTGTTGTAAACTAGAGGCCCCATTCAGGGGCCTGCTGCGCTGTTGTGCGTGTGCCTTAGAGACAGACAAGCCAGCTTTGGGAGCAGGTGTTAGAGAGAAATGAGATCTCTGTCTGAGGCACCCCGGCTCAGGTGGGGATGACCTCACTCTCGCTGTTGGCTGGCCAGAGATTTACTTAAACATTGCTGTTCTTCTCTTACAAGATAATCTGGTTGAGCAATTTCAATAAAAATCATCATGTTTCTCAAACATCTTTCTCATTGCTTCTAGCTGCTGCTCTCTCTCACTCGTTTTCCTTTATCTTGCCCCATGCTGCTGCTTATTCTGGTTCCCACTTCCTAATGTCCTCCTCGGTTCCTCCAGTCGGGAAGGTGAGCCCTGCAGGCTGCCTTCCAGCACTGCTTGCTTACGTCCTCGCGGAGCAGGAACGGCACATGCGGACCTCCTGACATCGTTCCTCCTTCTATCCACACACCCCCAGCAACTTTGGTGCTGATTTGCCTTGGGACAGGAATTAAGTGCAGTGGTGGCAGCAGTAGCCCCAGCGTCTGCTGGTACAGCCAGGAGCCGTGTAATTGTTGGAGCAGTCACAGTTGTGGTCCCAGCGCTCCTGGCTGAGATGAGCTCAGAGTACAGGGTGCTCCGCTTGCCCACGAGCTGTTGCTACGCGCTGATAACAAACACTGGACGCGAACAGGACCTGGAAATGTCAGAGCAGAACAGAGGCTACAACAATATAGGTTTTATTAGCATTACACCACAGACCTCCATCTGTCTGTTCCTGGTGCCACACAAATGCAGGGGTCATAACCCCCTAAAAAAACCCAAGCTATAAGTGAGATTTCTTGGACTTTTTTTCCCCTTCAAAGGGCCATAGGCATTAGCAGATTAAAGATCTTAATCTACAGGGATACCTTTGATCTTCAGAGGCACCTTCTGGCTTTCTGAATCCTGAAATTGCAAAAGGGCAGAAAAGGAAGGGATTTTCAGGTTTGGTGCTGGGATCTCAGGACCTGTACCTGAGCACTGACTGCTCTCCTGTAACAGAAACCCACGGAGCTCACTGCCTGCATTACAGCAGTGGGAACCAAGTAGCTCACAGGTCCCATGCTGTTTTATGCAATATGGGAGCTCACGCTGCACGGGTCACTGCTAATAGAAGTGTAAAAGATTGCCTGAGAGTGCAGATCTTGCTCTTTTTGCATGTTCCATTTATTTTTGGCTCTGTGTATCAGTAAACTAACCATGTCCCTGAAGACCCATTTGAGCCAGCCTGGCCTTAAGACACACAGTGTCAGTTAGCCCTTAATGGTAGCGGGGAACAGTAAAAGTCCTTTCAACTTGCCTGCTCTAGAGTTTGTCCTGGGGACATCCTGTCTAGTCTGGGTTTCCGAGATTTTCACCACAGTCAGCAGATGATAAAGTTCCCCCACTGGCACAATAGCAAGGCTTCCCTGTCAGCCAAACCCGCCTGAACCCTGAAAGACCACTATACCCTTACCAGAGTCCCTGAAATGGAGGCATCTTTCTTACAACCTTTCCAGAGTTTCTCCTTGATTTTCATTATTCATTAAGTGCTGACTACTAACCTCGTAAATAAGTCTGTGCCCCTAAGGGCTTAAAATCTAATTTGGACAAGAGTGAATAAAGAAACTGTTGAAATCTCAGCTACCTGATGAACTCTTTTGAGTTCCAGTTCAGACTTTTCAGATTTCATCCTCAGTTTAGCTCCTGCTGGCTACGTTACAGACCAGCAATGGCTGGGATTCGCTCGCTGCCAGATACTTCAGGGAAGATGTACAGATATGTTGCATGTGATGCTCTCTCAGCTTCCCTGGCTGCGCAGTCAGCTGGCTATGTGGGGGAATAGCCAGCTGCAGTCAATCTCCTCATAAATGATTGTATTGGATTTAAAGACTTCTCAACATTTCCGGAGTGCAGGCTCCTGGGCCAAGTGGAGTCAGTAACCCAGCACCAGAGTGCACCTGCTTCTATTTAGACGCTCCTCCGTTACATATGTGCCGTGCAGCCCTCCTTGGAGGCTCCTTGCTGGCTCTAACAGCAAGAAATGTTAAATTCTCAGACCTCTGCCCGCTTCCCGATGCTCTTCTGTAAGTAGCAGAGCGGGACTTCCTGCTGCAAGGCACACCCATTTGCCATAGCTTTAGATTTAAAACAAGTGAAATTAGTTGATTGTTGTGAGGGTGATGTAATATTGTCTCTCCACAAAATAAATATGTAAAAAAATCTCTCCACTATTGTTCTCCTGTTTCTCCAGGATGAAGAAATGCACTGGTAAAAGCTTTGGAGCTCGTGCTTTGAGGGTATCTGGGAGACAGACCATTATTTCAAAGGAGGGAGCGCAGCTTCTCAGTGATGTGGCCCATAGCATTTCCAGTGCTTAAAGAGTGGTTGGAAATGCCAGTAGCTGAGCAATATTGCCTGAGAGATGAGGATGCTCTGCCTGCCAGCTTCAAAGCTATTTCCTTGATGTGGCCACTGACAATCTTAGTAACATGCTTATTAGTGAGAATTAAGCACTGAAGCTACTGCTTCTTTAGACAGGAGGAGGAGGAGGCTTCTGGAACATAATAAATAAATCAGAAGCACTTTGACATCTTCAAAGGGTTTTGTTTTAAATACTGGCTTTTCTCCTGGGGACCCTCTTAGCCCCAGTCTTTCTTCTTTGAGATAATTAATTCAAGCTGCTCTGCATGTTTGATTTTGCCACAGTGAACAGAACTGGTCTGAGTGGCGGGGAAGTAAGCCTCTTGCAAGATCCTCTAACTCTTCTAGGTCAGCCTCCCACACAGCTCCCTGGAGTATTTTACACGAGACATAGCAGTGTTTCCCCAGCTTTGTGTTTAGACCATTGATGCTGCAGGAGTTGGTCTGAGGACAGCATTTGGCCCTGCGTTCAGAAGTGTCCTACTAGATGGCCCACACTTTGGCTGTAGTGAACTGCTAATCCTCCTTGTGTGATATCCCAGATACTGACTATACAGGGTCAGTAGACCTGTTTCTGCTTAAAGCTCATGGTGGTCCAGAAAATGCACAGCTGAAAGGAAGCACCAGCCACCTTTCTTTAACATCCTCTGAGTACTGTTGTTTTGTTTTTTGTTTTTTGTTTTTTGTTTTTTTCTGTCCAAGTGCTGTGTTTCCTTCTGCTTTCTGGTCTCAGTTGTTGCTGATCAGCTCAAGTTTCCTAATCCCTGGTAGTGACCAGAGCATTGTTTTCATTTTTATTTTTATATTTTTTTGCACTAATTACTTAGTTCTGAAATCCAGCGTTTTTTTCCCAAAAGGAGGAGGTGGAGTTTGCTATCACTTGTACTTCATCTCTGTGGCCTATTGCTGATATTTTATGTATTCCTAAAGTATGATTCAAAATAAGGATACATGTAACTCCCTAGATGCACCTGGGGTTTAGCAGAGAGAAAGAAGACATTGTCCCTTGTCCAGGAAGTCTTCAGTCTCTATGAAATTTGACCTGATAATATATGAAAAGGGACTGATCCATGAGAAAGGGAGGATAGGATGTTTACGGTGAGTAATTTTAAAGCTGATTGTTGATGCAGAAGAGACATTGTGTTATTTCCTCTGTAGTCAGGTGGAGTTGGGCCATAGGTTGGAATTTAACGGCTATTGTTATACTTATGAATGTGGAAATAGCCTAGTTCAATAAAATCTGGTGTACAGAAGAACAGCACAAGTCTCATTCTGCTTACACCAGTTTTATAATTGTGTAACTGCCTGGCCTGTAGCAAATTTACTCTTTATACAGCCATGCGAACCAGCCTAGTAGTTTTACTGCCAATGTTCATTCCAGCACGTCCCCCAGGCCTGAATGCTTAACGTTCATCTTGCTTTGGTCACACCGAAGCTAGTGCATGATAGCACTGATACTCAGGATCTTCTCCTCACCCCAGGTTCTCAAGCTACTTTCATTTGATATTAGGGTGCCCTCATCCACGCACTGGTGGGTGTTCCCATTGCTCTTTCCTAACCTCTTACCCTGGGCCAAGCCACTAGCAGTTCTCAGTTGCATGTAACTGCCTAGCTGTGCTTTCTCTGGATCTGGGGTTCCTGCTTGAAGGCTTTAGTCCTTTTGGAGATGCCAAACCGTTTCTCTCATCTTATTCCTAGGATTGTGCTGATGGATGATGCTATGGATTGCCTGATGTCTTTTTCTGATTTCCTCTTTGCTTTCCAGATCCAATTCTACTACTCAGGTAAATACTGGGAAGCTGCTGGTTTCACCCTCTGGCATATCATTACAGCCTTACAGCTCTTCTATCCCTGCAGTTTTTTCAGCCTTGTAAGGACACGCATGGGTTTTCACAGAGAATATATAGCTAATGGAACCCATCAATAAAAGCTGTCACTGATGCCAATAGATTAGAAGGCTTCATAAGGAGGTTTCAAATGTTTATGAATAACAAGATACCTGTAATAGCTATGGCTTATGCATGTATTTGTCTTAGCCCTGAGACATAAATTTCCAGCTTTATCTAGTGTATGTTAGCACCTAACAGTTAACTTTTACTAATATTTTTGTTCTGTAATTCTGTAATACATCATTTCTGTCTCTAAAGTACTGGCCCGTGCTGGAGACAGGATCAGAACAGCCCAGAGCAAGCCTAACCCAATGTTCTGTGTTCTGGCCCCAACAGGGATCGGGAGCTGGTGCCTCAAAAAAAAAAAAAAAAAAAAAAAAAAGGAAATTCTTACCCCTAATACTCACCCAACTACAAGCTGTTTTCAGCTCAAAATGTTTCTGAAATGTGTATAGTTTCTACAGGTTTAGAAACACTCAGGGATTCCTCTTCCAAGGAATTTTCCAGTTTCCCCTTGAAATCACATCAACATTTAACCTCCACAACTCTCCTTGGCAAGGAGTTGCATGGGTCTGCCACCTGTTCCACTAAGATCCACCTCTCATTTGATTTGAGAGCCCCTAGTTGGAAGGGAAAATGAACAGTTAATCCCTACCTATGTTTTTCATATTATTGGTAATTTTTCATGTTCTCTCCCTCAGTTTGGGTTTTAAGTAGATGGGATACTTCTTTTAAGATTATTGACAGAAGTACAAATCAAATGCTAATAGTTTGTGTATGCATATTTTTACATATGCTCACCCACACATACACAGCTGTAAAAATCCTGAGGTATTTTTAAACTAAAGTTCAGGTGGCAAGGGGGAGAAACTTGGATGAACACTCATGTGCTTTTTCTTTACAGGGAGATGTTTTAAAATATGTTGGCCTGTTTGTCTTAGCCCCCTAAAATGTTGTTGAGGAAAGGAACTCATCCAGGAAACTGCTCAAGTGGGGAAAAAAAGGGAAACGTTTCCCGTATCAAGGTTAGATATGCTCCCAAGCATGGGGCACTGCACAGGCACTCACTCACTCATCTTGCAGCACAGAGCACTTTCTAAAGACAACAAAAAATCATGGGATTCTGTCCGCTCACACTAAGGGTTCCTGCTGATGGGCATAGCTCTCAGTTGGCCTTGATCAGGCAAAGGGGGGCAGGTCAGGGATACTGGGAGACCCTGGCTAGAAGCTGTGGTGGAGCGCAGTTTGTGGTCAGAGTACAGCCTTGGGTGGCCTGCTGATCTGATCCAACCTGTCAGTTCCCATCTTTCCAGCAGTTATGAGTCAGCTGCTATTCCTAATACAAACATCTCTATTTCTTAGTACTTCTCTCTGTATAACTCCCCTGTGCATATCACAACACTACCCGTGACAAGTCATCAAAGAAAAACAGTTAAAATGGTGATTTTGGGTTGGGCAGAACCAGGCTTGCAGCGCCTTGAGCTGCGGACAGAAAATGCGCTTGGAAAGTTTTTCTCTGATACAACAAATATTTCCACTGAGCTGCAAAACCTCAGCGCAGCCCGAGGGCCCGCCGCCATCCCGCCTTTCCTTTCCAGCCGCCTCACGCACATCCTCACACTTCCATTCGCTGGGGACACAAATGCCACCAGAGCCCTCCCAAACGCGCCCTTGTGTGCACACACTCAGGCAGCCCGGCCCTGTCCTGCTCGCCCAGGCACAGCGCACACACGCAGCCTGTCATACGCTCTCCCACCAACCCACACACATGCAAACCACTCCAAATGGAATCTAGATTTGTAAACTGCTGACCACATCCATAAACAAACTTGTTTAAAATTAGGCTCTTGCAGTAAACAGTGGGTAGTATGAGGAGCCTGGGGAGAGGCTTTCTGCCAACTCTAGCCCTGACCTGCCCTGGCCCTTCCTCTAGATCCCATGTAATATTTACTTTGGAGCAGCACAGAGACAGGCTGGGATACAGCCTGGAGCCCTGACTAACTTGCTCCCTTTGCTTCTGTTGCAGTACCATATATTTTGTTCCCAACTTGGATGATTTCTCGGTTGGTGGTAACAGACGAAGAAGGAAAACTTTTGAGACTTTGCAAACTAGCTGTGTGTTTGACATTAGCTTTCACACTCCAGTGCTTTATTCACGTGCTCGCCTCTGTTCCCTTTAGAAAAGTCTGAACAGAGTGGCTGGCCTCTCATAACCATCCTGACAGGGAGAAACCAGCAACTTACATGGAAATGGATGCTTGTGCCTGCATAATATCTGATCTAAATATGCAGGGTGCCTTAGTATTGTGCTTACATTCATTTCCTGTTGGTGTCATGTGCAGCACAGAGCAGGGAATGACAATTTAATCCTGGGTCTGGTAGGTCAGGAGGATGCTTAGCCGGCTGTAGCCCTGAGTTATAAATCACTTTCTGTTTTTCCAGAGTTCCTGGAAAGTGTTGCTGCCATTTATCAAGATCTATTGGCTGGTAAGAATCCAAATACTGTGATCGTGCCAACATCATCCTCTGGGCAACATCGGCAGCGACAACCCCCAAATGACTGCAACCCACTCGATGGGGTAGAAGCGTCTCTCTTCTACCAGTGCCTAGAGTCCTTGTGTGACAGATCAAAATACAGGTATGAATAGAGTCCAAAACACAGACGTGAAGTCTCTGTCTCTGGACACTCTTTGTAAGGTTGGATCTGCGAAGAAATACAGGACTTTGAACAAGCTGTAACTTCCACATAGATCTCATTGGAGAAGTATGAAGGGAGAGATCACAGCAGAACTGCCTTAACCAAAATAGAAAAACAATTTCCTGGGCCTAATAAACACAGTGGAGTTGAGCAGATTATTGGGCTAATTGTTTGATTTGGGACTCTGCTTTCCTGCTCACTTCTACGTTGATATTTTCATCAAGGAGAGGTTAATCTACCATCATGGATTAACTAGAAGAGCTAAACAAATACAAGTGCGTTCCTGAGTGTTGAAGTACAGGCAGGCCACACTGGGGTGGATGAAGCTTTAGCACCTGGACAAGATCACACTGCTAGTCTGAACTGGAATATGGGATGGAGCTGGTCTCTAGTTAGAGATCCCAGGCACAAGACTAGCCTTGGTTCATCAAGGGACAGAGAAAAACCAGGCCTTACTGTGTAGCTTTAATAGACACATTCTTCATAGTTGCAGGTAGTGAGCAGATAGTCATGGTCTAGATCCACAAAAAGACTCATGATGCAGGCCCCACCTGACTCCTGCTTTATGTGAATCAAAATTTGTGATCCCCAAAATTAGTTCTGAGCTACTGTCCAGTACTATGGGCACCTAAGCAGAGATTCCGGGCTGTTTGGACATTTAAGTAACAGAAGCTCTACGTTCCCTGTATGCCCCCAGAGCTTCAGCTGGGGAGGATATTGTAAGCCTATCTGTGAGGGGAGACATTCCCAGCCTTTCCTCAAGTAGCTCAATGCTCAGCCAGGCTTTGGTAACCACCTTTGCCTGAGGGATCACCAGCCCACACCCACATCTCCTGGGAGTGCTACTAAGTCCTGATCTGTTCAGCACTTTCATTTCCTCTACATGCAGCAGTTCCATTTTGCAGGAAACTCTTTAAGGAGTATTAAGCAAGAGCAAGAATCATAATGAGGATATTGCCTAAAGGTCAGGGCCAGGGTTTAAGGTGAGTGTAGATGAAGGGGACATAGGAATTGCAGTCCCCACTCAAATGTTTTAGGACATATTTAGTCTGTCATTGGAGAGATTTTCCTGCCCCTTGAATGTCTGTTGCTGGTAAAAGGGTGATAAAAACAGTGTCCTCACAGAAATGGAAGTTTATTGAGTGCTAAAAGAAAGGATTTCCTTTTTTTTTTTTCTCTTATGAAAGAATATATGTCAAGAGTGGACATGTGTATATGCTTCTCAGCAGATCTGGGTTTTTCTCCCTGTGCTTGGAAAGGAGGCAGGTAGGACTGCTCCTAGGGATGTACCCCAGCCCAATCATTTTTGCTTAGCAAATTGGGAGCAGATGCAATGCCAAGTAAACAAGCTGTTGGCTATTAGTTTTAAACAATGGGGGCAACTTGACAATATTTGAACAGGTAAATGGGCTTATTCTTCCAATTTGAGCTGCATCTTGAAAAAAAAAAGAAAAAGATGTTTAATAGACAAGATAACCTCTTTGTCTCTCTTTTCCTAGCTGTCCACCTTGTGCTCTTGTGAAGGAAATGCTGAGTACTGCACAGAGACTGACCTTCTATGGATTCCTTTTGGCGCTTGCAAAGGACCAAGGGATCAACAGAGCCCTAGGTAAGATTTCTATGACTGGGACAGCTCTAGATTTTCAGTCATTCTGCATTTCTATGGAATTTCCACTGTAGTTATGCCCCAGATTTTACTTCATTAGGAAGAAAACGGGACAGTTTTTCATCTTCTTTTTTTTTTTTTTTTTTAAACGGATTAAAGTTTAGAAACATAGCACTGCACCTTACTTGTCTGCTTGAAGCTGTGGAGCTTCTTCCACAATAAAATGAGGTGTGAAATGCTGCCCTAAGACAGCAATGTTTTACATCTTTAATCCGTACATAATTTAGACACATAACGCTGTGTTGTCCCCATATGACTTGGTTGTGCTCCTCTTCCTCCTGCAAAGGGGAACAGCAATGGCTTTTGGCATTTGACAAGGAGAAATGTTTGAAAGCATGTAGGCTCACACACCTTCACTCTGCTCAGCAGATCATCGGGTCAGTAAGGATAAGCTCTCTCTTTGGATATCCTCTCCCTCTACTCCCAGGCCTGAGTATCTGCCAATCCCCATATTTCAAAGACAAGCCTTAGTGAAAAGATGCTGTACCTTGCCTGAGGGCTTGTTCTTTTGCACAGGTGTGTCATAGTAGAAGTGTCCCCTCCCTGGCTGAGCCTCTTCTTCCAGCAAACAATTTAAGCTGCTAATGCCCCTCTGGGGAAGGGCTGCTTACCCAGCAACACAGAGATTATATATCAAAGGTGCAGGACTACAGCCCTGCAATCCCCTCTGCAAACAGGTTTAGGAAGCCATGTACTCACAGGTGATGCCTGGATTGCACCAAACAAATTCTTGTTTCCTTTGCCCGACAAAATCCACTCCAATCGAGTGCAAAGAAAACAGATGGGCAAAAAAAAAAAAAGATCCTGCCCACAGCTTCCATTGTGCCATCTACAAAGTGTGTGGGTTTTCCTTTCCATTAATGTGGGCCTGGCCCCTGGCCCTCTGCCAGCCTCCTGCTGAGGCCTCTCGCAGAGGAGGGGCAGCAGCCACAAGTCTGACAGGTGCTAGCATCTTGGCAAGGAGAGGAGGATTCTTTTCCTGGTGTCTTTTAATCTCTCCTGAAGGGTGATTTCAATAGTCTTTGGTCTGTAGGGGATCACAAGCTCCCCAAAGCCCTTCAGCAAGGGCAGTTTCAGGCAAAGGAGCTTTCAGTGAGGATGCCTACCTGCTCTCCTGCCTCACAAAGCCAGTGGCCCCTCTAGAGCAGGGGTAAGGATTACAGCAGTTCATTCTGGCTGGGGTAGTACTGATGAACTTGTCAGGCAAATGGGAACCTGCAGCCTAACTCCAGTGTTAAGGTAGATTTGTGAAACCTTTAAGTGCCATTTACTGACTCTCCCACGTAATTCTTGTGCCCCAGAGACCTCACTACATTCTGCAAACACAGAAACAAGTTAAGCTTTAGCTGCTTGCTTATTCTTCTAATGTAGCATGTGAAAGCAAGCACTGGACCTCCCACCACTCTGTGTTGCTGTGCCAGGTTTTCCTGGTCAGGTGCAAGAGAGGAAGACCAGAACTCGAAGTAAGGGAGTCAGATCTGGTCAGAACTGCTTCTAATTTGTTAGATGCTCATTGCTACAATTTTTTGACTGCCATTTGCCTGTCTGGAAGAGGTGGCTCTCCAGCCCCTCCTTCAGGACAAAGGTGCCAGGGCCAGACATCTGCTCTGTGTCCCCCCAGGGCAGTACAAGAGCTCTTTTCCAAAAATACTGCGTGTGGCACCCAGGTCTCCTGAAAAACAAGAGCATTTCTCGCTGCAGCATTGGTACAGATTACCAAATGCCTTTTTCCTGGTGTGCAGTGGCATCATCCAGGCAATTTGTCATCTCCATGCTGACCGATCAGACCCTCCCACAGCCCTTGTGCAAGGTGGAGTTTGTTACAGGAGGGATTTCCTAAGAGCCCCATCTTCCTGAAGGCTCTGTTGTTCTGATAGGATTTAGGACTGAATTGCCCTATACAGCTACCACAGGGACATCACCCTGTGACAGTCAGCACGCAGTAGTTCTAGTAGGAACAGAACCTGCCGAATCTTTGGGCTTTTCAAGTTCTCTGAAAGGTGAGACTGCTGAGTGCCTCCCATCTAGGCTGAGGCCCCGCTAGAGCCTGTGTGAAGGACACAGCATATGCAACATCATTCTTTGCCTGTCCTTGATCCTCAATATTCAGTGTCCATTTCTCTGATGGGCATAAGGAAGGGTCTTTTTTTTGGTCTTGCAGGACACATTTCAGATGCTGGCCTGACTTGAGTGATTTTCTTCAAAAAGGTAACCCCTGAATAGCCTAACTCTGCTCTGATACTGGTTTTTCTTCTTCTTCACAGGGGCTTTGCCAGATAAAGGAGATTTGTTTCTTGACCCTGCCATGGATCAGGAACTTGAGAAATTGTAAGTGGAATTGCCTGGAGTAGGAGGTAAAGCAACAGATGGAAAGTAGCATGTTAAGGAAATCTTCACTGAAGTACTACCCCTAGTCTTTTACTCAACTATAAGACAAGAGAGGAGCTAACAGAGCAGCCTAGGCAGAGAGGGCCTCTGGGATGGCTGGGTGGTGCTAACAAAATCCTTAGAAAAGGCTTCAGAAACTGGGGAGGAAATGCACCTTGGTTAGGAAAAAAAAATGTTGGACAGTGAAAACTAGGAGTGTTAGGAGACACAGGCTGAGGCCAGATCTGTTTTAACAGGGGAAAAAAGATTTGCACAGCAAGTCTGGCAGATACTGGTGTAAAGTATTCCCCATCTTTGCCATGAACGTCTTTCTAGTTGGGAATGAGTCCTCTTTGCGAGTTTACTCCAAAATTGCTATGGTTAAGGGTGGAGGTGACAAGCTCGGCTACCCAGCATTTGTCTTTTCTCTTCCAGGATAGCTCAGGTTTCAGGGCTTGCCATCTCTGCTCCTACCAGCTCCAGCGGGGACACTGCTAATTTGCCTGTCCGTCACTCACCCAGGATTAACTCTCCCTGGAAACCTCTCCACCATCGCCGAAAAATGGATGCTGAGAGTGAAGGCTCCAACGAAGAGACAGACTCCTCTGAAAACTGAAGGTTGTGAGGGTGGGCACCGGTCCCACCTTTGGTTTGTCCACATCTCCCTGGAGGTGCAGCACCTCCTCCCAGAGGATCTGCTCTGGCACTGGGTTACATCCACATCACCAGTGTGTGCGCGGCTCTGCCAGGCCCCATTGCCAAGTCCACCTGTCCCTTCCCAGCAAGAACGCTGCTTTTTTTTTTCCCCTAGATCCGAATCTGTGTAGGAGTAGCTATTTCCAGCTACAGAGTTCTGCTGCCATCTGCTGGCACGTAAGACGACAAACCAGCAGCTGCTAGAGCTGCCCGTACTTGGAAATAGCCCGGCGTTCTCCCAACCAGGGCTCTCTCCCAGTTCAGCAGGTGCTGGAACAGTGGGAGTGCTGGTGCAGGCTGGGTGCCAGGGTTTTGTTGTGTAGCTGTGTTCAGACTTGGCCTAGACAATAGAGTGGTTAAATCGCCAGCGGCAGCTTTGCATTCACTGCTCCATTGTAATTATTCCTAGTAAAGCTGCACCTGCATGTGATCAAAGGTAGAGAAATTCCTCAAGTTCCTAGAATAGAAGGGTTTAGCTAGTGCCTTGCCACCTGTCACAGCTTCCTCCTCCATGAGTCCAAGCCAAGCCAAAGCAAATAATAAGCTAGATTTCAGCAAGTACTGCACGGTGCTTTGCGGCTCCTCTGCTGTGCTGAGTTCCCTTCTGGGAGGCCTCCCCCTGCCTCCAACAGCACGTTAAGCTCATTTGCTGAAAGCAGGCTTTGGAGAGGGGGGTGGAACAGAGAGATGAAAAGTCTTCAGATGGTTTGGCCACAGGTGGTGGTGCAGCCTGCCAACATAGAGCATATCTGCTGGGGGTTGGTGGGCAGAAGCACTGGGGGAGGAGGAGGCAGTTTTCAAGTGAGGCCCAGGTACTTTTTGTAAATATTTGCATTGTTGTATCATCACGGTGTGGCCTGTACAGCTACAGAAAGAATTACAGCCTCAGTGGTAACTAACTCTGCAGCTTGGCCTCCACAACCCTGAACAGCTGACTAGCCATGCACCTCTGTCACAGCTTGCATGGACTCGTTATTTCCCAAGATACTCCAATTTCTCGTGAGCCTTTGGGAGGCTTCTTGCTCTTCCCTGCCCTAAAACGCTGCACGGTGTAGGCTACTAAGATCTGTTAACCCAAAGCTTAGCGCTGCCCTAAGCCGAGCGGATTCAGCACATGCTGGAACTATTTTAAGAGTAATCTTTTAGCTACTGCTGACCTGGCTGTGGAGGTAGGGGGAGGTATTTATTGATTGTAAGTTATCAGCATGCTCTTTAACTGCACGTTTTTTCCCCACCCAGCAGTGGGCAACAACCAAAGCAAGGGAATAAAGCATGCAGTGTAAGGCCTGGGGCCAAGCCTGAGAAACTCTGCTCTGTGCCCCCCCTCCCAGGCCCCAGTGGCCTCTCATGGGGCCCCACAATGCTGACCCCGCCCAGGTGGGGCCCGCTGCCACCCCCAGCACAAATGGCACCGTGCCCACATCACCCATGCAAGCACATTCAACCCTCAGCCACTTCCACCCCCGCCACAGCCCTGGGGGTACCACGGCCCCTCTGGCTGCTGCCACGCAGCCCCCAGTGGACCAGGGGGGTCCGTGCACATCTGGCACAATGTGGGGGCCCAGCCCTGGAGGGGGCATTTGCTGACAGGAACCCACGGAGTTAAATTGTTTTGCTCATCCAGCTATTTTGCAATAGTTGCAAAATAAGCACAGAAAAAAAGGCCTATCCCATCCTCAACTGCATGAAGGGAAAACTGCTCTTGTTGAAACCACACTCAGAAGCAAAGAACCCACCTGAGTAGGACTAAGGTTGCAGTCCCCATGGGGACAGCCTCCCTCACCCCTGTCCCACTTAAGCCAGGGTTTCAGGACCTTCCCCTCTGTCCAAGTCTGGATGGAAGATAGGACAGGGCAACACAATAACGAAGGGTCCAGCAAATATCTTTATAGTACTTCATGGCCTGGGCCTTTTTTTTTTTGCTCATGATGTGATTAGAAGCTAAAAAAAATAATCTTTGCTTGATTTGTTCTCCCGCATCAATATATGCCAGTTTACAAGACAATAAAAAGGATTATCCCATGGTAAAAGGCAGACCCTGCAAATACAGAGGAATTGTGACACCATGGCTTACCATGCACTGCTAGAACCTTGCAGTTGAAAATGCCTTACCCATGCTGTGAACTGCTGCAGCAGCCTGCTTGGGATCAGGCAGTAAGAGCACTGAGCAGAACAGAAAGCCACAGTCATGTCCGTAGGGACCAGGTAACACGTTCAGAAAAACAGCATTCCCATTTCCTCTGTCACGTGGTCAGCTAAGGGATGGGCCAGGAAGGATAGGAGCACTGATGAGGGCAGTCACAGGAATTCCCACATCTTTCACAGCAGTGAGGTTATCCCCATCTCCACTGGCTAGTAGATAGCAGTGGGTCTGAGGGCACATCAAATTTTAATGCAGAGTGGAATTCAGATATTTGGAAAGCATCCTGGGCACAGCCATGTCCTGCCCCCTTCTGCTTTCCTTCTCCCCTCCCCACCCACCCCAGACAAACTAAGACAATCCTGCAGAGTTTACTCCAGGCGAAGGTGGCATCAGTGCCTCCTGCTGGCTTCCCTGCGAGTTGCAGTTCCTGGGTCATCAATATGAACCATAACGATCCTGGGGAGGAAACACACCAAGACACCATTCTATAACACTGTGCAAACTCCAAAGAAGCAAATAACAAGGTCATGGGGGTTTGGCATTAATGCAATCAATACACAATGGTCAACAAAAGGTTGCCTCAAGAGAGGACACCTTGCAAAGACAGGAGGTAAAATGGGCTCAATTTTTTTTAAGTTTAAAGATCTGTGGGAAAAGGTGTATCTGACATAACACAGTACCCTGTCCAGCAGGAGAATAATGTTGTCCAAGTAGCATTCACCAGCCACCTGGAATTGGTCAGCTATTGAATCCTCAGCTACAAAAGGGCTCATCTCTACCTAGGACTTTCCATATAATTTGAGAAGACGATGATAATCCCAGTGAAATCACTTGGAACGGCCAGGATATGGTAGAAGTCCCCGAACATGACTAGAACCTGTCTGAAGGTGCTGCAGTGCAACCTCACCTGGAGGGAGTTCATCACCCCGTTGGCTAGGACAGCCATCTTGCCAGCAACTGACTTCACTCCTTGCTTGAACTGTGCGATATCGGCTGCAGGCAGGACATTTCCAATCGACACGCCACCTACAAGAACCAGGAGGAGTAAGGCTGGAGTTCTCCAGCTCCAGAGAACACCCTGACCCCCTCTTGTTGAGGTCCTCCAAAGCTGCACTCCCTTCCTCAACCCACTGAGTGCTAACAAACCTGAGTGCGCATTCTCAGCCTCTCCGAACAGGTCTGCAGAACTGATAGCACTTGCTGCCTGAGAGCTGCTGCAGTCGGGATCTGGCTTCGTACTGCAGAAGAAAGGAAAACAAAAAAGGTAAAGGAACGGAACAAAGAACAACCTGAGCAAACAGGAGATGAAGTCAGAGCACTGCAAAGTGCATTTACCTCAGCATCTGCTTCCCGCCCAAAGAACATATCTGAAGAGATAGCTTTAGCTCCTGCGAACTTCTGCCGAGCTTCATTTGATTCCACAACTGATGTCCTGTGCTCTGTATCTCTTCTACTGGTGGGCCTGAGGAAGCAAGAGAGGAGACAGCTCAGCTTAAGCTCAGCAACACAGTAGAGAAAGACATGTCTCATATCCCATCTGATGGAAGGAGAGGAACAAACCCCAAGGGCTAGCTGCTACCAGAGTTCTCTCCTCCCCTCACCCCAGGGCAGACCCCATTTGATGACCATAAGGGCTGTGACACAATAGGAAAAGAAGTGCCCAAAGGATCTCTCACCAAAGGCCCCTTTTCTCAGGATTACCCATGTAAGTGATCTTCTGCAGCCTAAGGCTCAGCTCCTGTCACAGCACAGTAGCATCTCCCCCACAACTCCTAGACCCATCCCTTTGTCCCGTACAAGGGCAGTACAGTAGCAGGTGCTTTACCTCTCTGAAATTGGCCGAATACTGGAAATTGTCACCTCTGGTTCCTCCTCTTTGTCAACACCCCACGAAGAGTCTGTTTCCCATCGTGAGCCAAAGGCATCTTCAAATGAGAAGGGACTATATTTGTACCTAGGTATCAAAAATAGGTAGTTTAAGCCAGATAATAAATTTAGAAACAAGCCAAACATTACACTGAAGCTTAGTCTTACTTGGGGGGTCCAGATGTGAAGCTTCCAGCATCATCAAACAGGTCCAATTGGGAGCGGGAAGATTTCACGGCCAGTGGCGTCTCCTGCTCAATGACTTGCATCTCAGACATCACCGAGTGTGAAACAGAGCTAGCACAACAAATAGGTGGTCAGGGCTGACAGCTGTGACACCATCCAGCGCCTACAAACAGTCTCCCTCAAAACTGAATCTGGCCTTCAGAGACAGGGCAGGTGCCACAGAGCTGGAGGAAGTTGTGGGGAGCCAACCCCCTTTACCACACATCAGGCTTGAATCCCTCAAAGTCTTGAGTTATCTTCTTAAGGGACGTAGGGTGATGCCTGCCTACATGCAGACATCTGTGGAGTTGTAAGGCTCCAGAGATAGGCACTGACAGGCCCCAAGCAACTTTGGAAAAGCTCACATGAGAACTGGAACCTTTGAACAGTGTCCATTCCTTCTGTGGTGTGAAGCATTTTTAGACACAGTCCAGCATGCAAGAAGATTAAATCCCTTCCTTTTGTTAGAGCAGCAGCAAGCTACTGCCTTTGGGAAACTGTTTTAGAGCAGTGTGGTTCCAGAGCACCTCTACCCCACGCCATCCCCAGCCAAGTACCTTCTTGACACCAAGCCCATGCCTAGCCTCTCAGCTTGTTCACGCTTCTTCCCTTCGAGGTTCTGAAGTTTCTTCTCTTCCTTCTTCCGATCGAGCTGCAGTTCCTGATAAGCCAGTCGCATCGAGGTGACTCTAAAGGAAAGAGCTGCAGTGGGTACCAACTCATTACCTTTCTGCCCTAGCCCAGCCCATGCTGTGGAGGGACAAGGGGAAATGCAACCCTGACAACCCCTCAATACACCCGCTTCCACAGCAGCACAGCCAAAAATCCCTTCATAGCAGCTTGTCTCCCCACCTCATCTCCACTGGGATGCAACTCTTTTCTAGCTAAACGTGATTTTCTCAGTGTAGGCACTGCCTCTGTACCCCCTGGGACAGATACACAAGAACACCCACCCAGTTCAGCCTTTGCTTTTATCAGTCCTGGCCAGAGGTGCACAGAAAAATAAAATCCATATCTGCTCCTTAAAATCTTCCAGAGGTACTAATTTGAATAAAATACAGCAATATAGCTTGTGCCCTGCTCTAAGGACTGGTTGTGGATGTTCTGTACTCATATCAGGCAGTCCTAGAACAGCATCAACCACGTGTTACTTCTACCTTATGTACACAAGGCGTACGGCCCAGACAGGGCACTTACATGGACTCCTCAGCTTGTTTCCTGGACTCCGCTGCCTGCTGCTCCTTCAGCTGCTCTGCCACCTGGGCTTGCCGCTCAATCTCACTGAAGCTCTGGCTGCTCACTTTCTGGGCTCCAAGACCTTTTTTTGCACCCAGCTGAGAAAGAAAGGAAAAAAAAAAACACATACAAAAAGGACTTCTTCCCCCTAAGCTGTTCACAGTACAAGAAAACCAGCAGCTCAGGCTTTCGGTCTCCCTGTTTAGTCGAAACCTACAGTCCCAGGACAGCCTGCAGCAGAAGATGGAAAAAAAACCATGAGAGTTGACCCACTGGTGCCCAGTGTGAAGAGATTAGCCACATACACTCCAGTAATAATCCAAACACTATTTGTTTTTGTCCATTAATTTACAAGCTAGCTTTCAAAAGAGGTGGTGAGATAAAGCTCTGCCTTCCCCAAATGGATCTCTCAGTAGACAGCTTGGGTAAGGGCAGAAAGCACAGGCCCAGGGAAAGGACAGCAGTAATACGAGATGTGCTCTGCCTCCTCTCCAGAAAGTAAGAGCTCAGACGTACCCCTTTCTTGGCAGCTCCCGGCTTCTTCTTTCCGATGAGGGAGGATTTAAGTTCTGCAAGAGGAGGGAAGCAGCAAACAAACAGAAATGAATTAATTTAAGAAGCCAAAATTAGTCGGGAACCCACACAAACATCCACCCCAGTCCAGCTGCTACAGAATCCAGGGCACACCATGCAGCTTCGCATCAGAAAGCTGGGTGATTTCACCCAGCCAAAGAAAGATGCACTGAAAAGCTCCACAATTGCAGGCTGGTGGCCTAAAGAAGCACGCCCATCCCTGGAGAAGCTTGTAACTGAATTAAGACCTTCAAAAAGCTCCTCCAGGTGTCATGCAGTTGGCGACCCTGTCCAGTACAGATCAGGGTTGCTAGAGACACTACATTTATTTCATACATAAACCCAGGAAAACGAAGATCCAGAGCTACATGAAGGTCAGTGTCTCACCAGTGCCTTAGGGACAAAAGCAGGAACCCTAAAGCAATGTTTACACGTACAGACCACCAACAAAATGGTCCTAAAGTACAGCGAGCTGTAGAAAGCAACAGGTTCCTCAACCCCTTCTACCAGAAACCTGTCACTCTGAGGGCATAAAGCACGCCACACCTGTAAAAACAGCCAAGATCCAGCCAAGCAGTAGGTGCCTGTGGAAAATGTGTAAGAACAAAGCAAGCATAAAAAGGAACTGCCCAGGACACTTTTCCAGCTTTTAACATTACGTAGCTCCAGTCTTAGTGCCCTTGTGGGATTCCCTTCCACAGAACTGTTTCCTTGCTTTCTACACCCACATGACTTTTGTCAATCCATACTTGAGATACTGGGAAGGCTGTCAAGAACGATCTTTTCTCATTTTACCATAAGGTTTTTTTGAAATAAGGGGTTTGGCACATTCATCACTATCAGACTGCTTTCAGCATACTGGTCCTGATTTTATTTTGATTACTGTCAAGAAGTGTTTTAATAGAAGTAACAATAAGGTCCATTTCCAGAGAAGTAATAGCTGGTATAGATCCCAATATGATACATGTAAGCTTCGGCTCATTCTCTCCCTCTAAGCACAAGAAGCTAAAGTTATTGAAGGCAGAATTACAAAAGGGGCAGGCAGAGTTGTCACAAGCAGCCAGAGCAGGCCAGCTGTTAGCCAGTTACCTCTGGCAGGAGCAGGCTCTTGTGTTGATAGACACATGGACGCGTCTGAGAAGAAACAAACATGGGGAATGAACAGACGCTTAAGGACACAGGCTTTCCACCCAGGATGAAGCCCCCTGTGGGCTAGGAACACACTCTTGGTAAGGAAAGAAGCTCAGCTATACATTGTGTGTGGCCAGAACAGTTATGGTGGGGGACAATCAGATATAAACACCTGTTATTCAGCAAACTAAATGCGTATTTGTTCCAAGCTTCTAGGGGAAAAAGCCAGATGAAACACAAAACAGCCACGTGGCCTTGGTCAACCAAGTTCCAGATATGCAAATACCAAGTTTTGACCAAAGCCCAGAAACGAAAACAAGTTTTTGAGAACGAGACAGCTTTGGACTCGATCATCCAAAGGAGCAAGAAACCTCCAATAAGCTGTGGAGTGATTTTGGAATTTATGGAGATCATCAGTATTTGTTCCATAGGCAGATAAACACCTTTCAACATTCTGAAAATAGGCTCATTAGTTACAGTTCCACTAAAGTTACTACACAACAGTATGTGTAACAGCAAGACTGATCCAGGAGATACTGAAGCGTTACTTACCTAGAGGAGCTTTAGGAGATGTGCTCAACAAGTCAATAGATGGGCCTTGGCTGGGATCTGCAAGCACAAGAACAGAAGAGAACATTCAGAGAAATTCTCCTTCCTTTTCTGTGTTCATAGTTCTGCTCTATGTCTTGCTACCTTCTCTGCCCCCCATCACCCAGAAATTCCTTCAACAATCTAATTTCCATTTGAAAGGTGCAATTTGCCAAGCACAACTACCTTAAGTCTCCACAGAGCAAGTTAACCATTCTGCAGTGCTCTTAATGCATTAAAAGAAAGTAAATACTCTGTCAAGGGAATACAAAAGCTGTTTCAAATTACATCTGTTCTCCCACATTCTTGGTTTCTTTGTAATTCACCCTAGAAACAGTTTTCAGGTCTGAAAATAAAATGTGAATATAGAACAATCAAATTCAAGGGATAGAGAAAAGTGTTTAAATGAAAAATTACGTCTGGAAGTAGAGAAACAGAGCAACCAGCCCCAACTAAACTGTTTTTACTGCATTTCAGGAAATGCAAAGAACTGACTCCTTGAGCCCAAACCGAGCTGTTCTTTTAAGCGTCCACTAATTTAACATCAGATAGCACACAGTTTCTTCAAGCCTGAACCAAAGGACAAAGCTTAGCCCTTCCAACTGGGTTACAGAACTGTATTCTCCTGGACATCCTGGACATTAAGTCAGGTTCTCAAGAAAATTATTAAACAGAGAACTCACTTGATGCTTCACTGCCTTCTGATGACTTTGGTGCTTTTTCCACCTCCAGGGAAGACTGTGCAAGATTCTGGCTGGCATCTGCTACATCCCAGGTACTGGAAGACTGCAAAGAGATGCTCATTTGAATGATTTGCAGAGAATGAACGAATCTAACCATCCTCAACTTACTTCAAGTTCAATAACCTGTATTGAATTTGAGGTCAAGAAAACATGTTCCCAACTCCAGACTATCCCTTCGCTGAAGATAATGGGATGTGGAGCTGTGCACACATTATCAGGGACAAAAAAGAAAAAAAAGAATCCAGCTGAATGAGTGTCCTGGTTTCGGCTGGGAGCTGGTATGGTGTTACATTTTGGATTTAGGATGAGAACAATGTTAATAATACAACATTTCAGTTGTTGCTGAGTAGTGCTTATGCTGAGTCAAGGATTTTGCAGCTTCTTGTGGTGCCCTGCTAGCAAGGAGGGTGGGGTACAAGAAGCTGGGAGAGGACACAACCAGGACAGCTCACTCACACTGGCCGAAGGGATGTTCCACACGACACAGCGTCATGCTGAACAATGAAACTGAGGGGAGCAGCAGGCTGGGGGGTATTTTGTAGACAATTAACTCTATCTCAGCTGAAAGCAAGACTATGAAAATAACTGATTTCCATCCTTACTACTAGATAACTAGTTGCCACATTGTCACATCACTACATTCAGTTGATATAATCCACTTTGCATTGTAGAAGCACTTGCCTAAATCCAACGTTACCAAGGTCTGTGCACTGGAAAGCTGACTTAACTAGAAGTTTCCATAACAGCCAGCCCTCACTTTTAACTGTCCACAGACTCTGCATTAAAGCAGTAGAAAAAGCATTTTCCAGGGAGTAATTGATGACTCTGAGTATCCCTCGAAGATGAAGATGAAGATACTTTGAAAGAGAAAGGACATGAATATTACAGGCCCCATATGGAAATATTTACATCTGTGGGTTATATACCAGGCTGATGACTAAACCTTAGTTGTTCCATGTTCCTATCGAATGTGTATACAACTTAAAATCCCTCCAATCTAAGTAGGACTGCTCCTACCACCTCTCCAGGCTCCTGGGTGACCAGCTGGCTCTGTGAGAGCTGTTCAGGCTGTCTGGTTGGACAGCTTCTCACCTGTGTGTGCTCCATGAAGAAATCAGCATCGCTCTTGTCAGGGGAATGCCCGGGGGCTCCACTCAGTCCATCTATGAGCAGCTGAAGAGAAAAGAGGAAAGAAGAAGCTATCCTGCAAGACTCAGCACCCAGTTCTACGTGTCTAACAGCAGAGAGCTGCTTGGACTTACATCAGTGCCATACTTGGCCATGGCAGCACTCGCCAGCTGCCGGATCTTCTCCCTGTACATCTGGGCAGCTCGACTGTTGTACTTCGCATTGGCATCTGTTGTAGTGCAGCCATGCTGACGGAAGAAAGCAGTCTGAAAAGAGAACAACATTCAGTCCACTGGTTGCCAGGTCACACTCAGGCAAGCGTTAGACATGATGCAAAGACAACAGGAAGAGGAAGCTTCCCAGAGACAGAGGATATAGCTCTGAGCACACGGTATGAACCCCATGGCAGCTAGGTCAGTACCCTGAAAGGTACAAAGGAAAGGGACAAGGAACAGAGGACGTGGCTTAGCAAAACAAAGCAAGCAAAACGCCTACAAAGGCTCCTTACCGCGTTGGCATTACTGCCGACTTGCATGCACCTCAGCTGGAACCAGTTCCAGTTGGAATCCAGCTCCGTGGACCTGCGCAAGAACAAGTTACACTTATTAACAATAGGCAGGCGTGGCAAAGGCAAAAAAAAAAAAAAAAGCATGCTCTGAGCTCAAACCGCCAGATATCCCAGCAGGGTAATGGTGGCAAAGGGGGGGAAGAACATCTCGGTAACTTGTTTACTCCCAGAGGGAATCGGTTTGGACTTTTAAAGTGATCAGTAAAGTCCGCTTCAGCTTTGGAAGTAACAGCGCTCACGTCTAGAAGGTGAAGGTGCTACAGAGCGCAGCACGGGGCAGGGGACACGACGAAACACGCGAGAAAACCACCTCGGTGGCACCCCAGACCCCATTCTCCCCGCACACAGAAGCCAAACCCAAACTCTTCTCCTCCCCAGCGGGCCCCGTGCCCCCCGACCTGATGAAGCTGAGGTGCACGCCCAGGGCGCGGTGCGCTCCGGAGCAGTCGATGCAGAGGAAGACGCCGTAGGTGACGCTGGCCCAGCTCGGGTTCTTGGCGCCGCAGTCGAAGCAGGACTAAAGGCAGAGAGAGGCAGAGATCGGCTGAGGGCTCCCTGCCGATCCCCATCCCCTCGCCCTTCCTCCCCCGCCGCCCGTTACCTTGTTGGCCGGCGCCGCCCGCAGCCGCCTGAAGAAGGCCTGGATCTCCGCCCGGCCCGGCTCCGCCGCCATCGTCTCTCCTTCCCACACGCCACCGCAGCCACGGGCGGTGCTACGGGAGCCGGACGGGCCCCGCCGGCTCCGGCCTCCGAGGGGGGGCGGCCCGGGCACCGCCTCCCTCCCTCCCGCCCGCCCGGGGCTCGGCGGCGGCCGCCCGTGAGGGGAGCGGCACCGCGGGGCGGGCACTGAGGGGGGGCAGCGGGGTGGGATCCCCTCACGGAGGACGCTGCTCCGTCACGCCAAGTTATTGCTTAAAAAATAAGAGGAAATGGGTTAGTGCCTGGGTATGGCGGCTTTCAGGTTAAGTTTAACGGCTTTCGGGTTAAATCGAACGGCTTTCCTTTTGCTTCGTTTTATTTTTCCCCCACACGAGGACCGTGGCACTAACTGCCCTAGGAGCCCGCGATCCACGACCTTAATTAAGTTCCATAACACCAAGACACGCAGATAAAATCAGCAACAACTGAACTAATTAGCGAAAGACACTGGAAAAAAAAAAAAAAAAGTTTAGCAGAGGAATCAGGCCTTGTACTTCAGGTCTCGCTGCCAACACCAGATCTAGGAGGCAGGCTGCCCCTCCGCTGAGGCACCCGCCCTGAGCTCCCCCAAGGTGAGGCCATGAGGCACAGCCCTGGCTGCCCCCTGCCTCGTGGTGGTTTCTGTGCCCCCTTCTGGGTTATCCCAACAGCACTGGGGGACCCCCTCAGGTAGAAGTAAGTGATAGCTTTTTGTCATGGCTATTTATAAACCAGCTGAGCTCCTAGCTCCCATTCGTGGTGCAGCTGTCTGGGCACATACCAGGAGGGCCAGCAGTGAGTGCAGCGAGGGCTGGCTGCACCCTAGGAAAAGGGGAGCTGAGAGGAGCTCCTGGTAGGGCTGTGCCTTCAGCAGTCCTGGCCCATCCCATAAAACCTGAGCCCTGCAAGCAGGGGAGCAGCCAAGAGGTGAGATTGCCAGGCAAGCCCCTGGCAATGAGGTAGGCCTGCAGTCAAGCTAGGAAGGCAATTCACAGCTCAGGATGAAGTCTAGCAATTACCAGGCAGGTCCACGGTGGCAAACTGAATTTAGCAACAGGCTCCAGCTCAGCAGGATCCAGAAGGCACAGCCAGACTGCAGCACCTCCCCAGGTTAGCTCAAACAAGAGGCAATAGCCCTGGGCTGAACTTAAATGGACACCCACACCCACCCACACATGGGCAGCAGCTGTGGGTAAATGCTCCAGGTGGGGCTGCTCAGGGCAATTAAGATCTGTTAGTGCTGTTAGGGTTGTGGCAGCTGAAGGCAGACTGAGGGATAGGAGGCAGAGCATATAGTGGCTTGGTGGAGACTGCATAAACTATATTATCATAGAGAGGAGCATTTGCTGAAAGCCAGTTCAGACAGTGAGCATATATTGGGAGTGGTGGTGTTCTGCTGGCCTGAGCAGTATCACCCTGAGGTGCTTGCTCCTGCCTTGTCCCATCTGTTGTGTGCTGCTGCTCCCCTCCTTTGCTGGCTTTATTCTGCCTGCGTCTGTGCTTGGCCATGTGGCAGAGATGCTGTGCAGGGGCCAGGAGGGACAGAATCTATTTGTGGTGGTGTTAACCCTAGTTGGGGCTTACGAGAGAGAAATGGCATGAGCCCAGGCAGCCTCAGAGGTCTGTAGGTCAGTGTCACACGATGTCCCTGTCTGTCTGTGCTAGGAGGCACCTGGAGAGACAGTGCAGGCTGCTCTGCTCTGTGAAGGGTGCATGGTTTATGCTCGCTGTGCTGTGTCCAAAGAGGACTTGCTACGGCAGGGTTCCTTGAGCTTCCTTGCCTCAGCTGTGTCCCTTGCAAGCCTTCCAGCCCACGCTGTTTGCTCCAAGTGCTGGCAAGGCTGCTGATCCTGTCCATCAGTTTTACATAAAAACAGCAGGAAGAGCATGCTGCTGGTCTGAAAAATAGTCAGCTTCTTTTTGTTGCCTTTGTCAGTACAGGAAAGACCTCCCGCTGCTGACTGTTCCCTGCGAGCGTGTGCTGTCACTGCACAGTCCTTGCTATTTCCTGCATCTGTTTCTCTTGCATCTCATGTGCTTTGCTGTTGAATTTCTGAGCTGCAAGCTGGCAGCCTGCTCTTTGGCCCTCAGCTTTCATGTCCACCTACATCACATCTGACATTCGCCTCTTTCCTCCTGACTGCTGTGACACCAGACCCCGAGCCAGCTGTAGCCCCATAATCGGAGATCTCCTTGCTGCTACTGTCCGTAGCAGCAAGGTGACAGTCCCCAGCATCATCCAGGAGAGTGAAGGAGGGTGACCAGGCTTGTTCTTGGAGCCTGCCATACCACTGGGGATGCTTTTATCAGCACAGAATCTTATTGTTTGAGGTTACCGTGGAAGATAAATGGCAAAGTGAGGAGATAGTCAGATGAGAGCTGGGAAGGCTCGGGAGTGAAGTGCTGTGATGGGGTAAAACTTGCCCTACACTTGCAGGTCAGAGCCAAGGCGAGGAGAAGGTGCCCCTCTGGGGATCTGTCTGGAGCAGGGTGGTCCTGGAGGGACAGCAGGGGCCTTGCTGTCTTCCACTGCTCAGCATAGACTGCAGGCTGCAAGGACTGTGAGGGAGAAGGAGGGTGCTGGCTGGGTCCTGCCCTCCCACTCAGACCTGTTGGCCTCTTGTGCTTTTGCTGAATGAGAAGAATAGGGGAGGGAGCAGGAAATTCAGTAAACTGCCACAAAATAACTGGTAGAGACAGTTTCCCATGGATCACAATGCGAGTGGTGGGGTACCAGGAATTTAGCTATTCCCTGGGGAGAGGAGAAATTCTTAAGTCTTTTTTTTTTTATTATTATTATTTTTTAACCAACCAGTTTACAGATACTGGGGACCAGTCTGCCACTGTGCCAGTGCAATTAGTAACTGCCTCCTTAGGAAAAGTACTGTACAAAGGCAGGCAGGCACGTCACACACTGACTCCGTACAATGCTTCCAGCAAGATTTAAGATAAGGAGCTAATACATTATGTGCAGAGTGAATATTTTGTTAAGGTTTACAACTTACACAATTTTACTGCAGTCTTACAAATGTTGTGGTTTGGAGACAATCCAGCAAAGGTAGAAGGAACCTATGAAGGAAGACGACGGGTGGGTAACTTGGGAGATACTGAGGAGCAGTCGTGGCTGGCTTCATCCAGTTTGGGGTTGCGCTGCAGCCGAAAGGCCGGTCCTGCTGCACGTCATGCCCCTTGCACCCACTCTGGCAGCTGGGTGGCTGAGCTGGTCTCCCTCTTTCCCCTGTGACTGCAAGAGTAAGGGAAGGGCTAGGAAGGTCTGACAGGGAGAGGAGAGGACTGTCCCTCTCAGTTGCATCAGCTGATGTTGCTGGGCTGTCAGGCAAAACTGCTGGGGCTTGATGGAAACGGTAACTGGAGCGTGAGTCCTGATTGCTGCCGATAACCTAGTTGTTAAGTGACTCTGTGTGTGTGTGCATGCACGTGTGTCTTCATGCTCTTCTTTCGTAACTCCATTTCTACTCTTGTAAGCAAATATTTATTTTCAAAGGTCTGGCTTGAAACACTCGGACTGGTATTGCAGGTGCTGGGGATACAGGAGGTTTTGGGGATGCCTTTGGGGATGATTTATTTGTCACAGACTTAACTGTTCTTGGAATGACCCACTGTTTTCTCCCACACAGAAGCCATCCAAGGAGCAACGCACACCCTGAGGTCCCCCAAAATACAGCAGAAGTTGGCACCAGCAAGACTGGTTCAACAACAGACATCACTCCTGTTCTAGCTAACAAGGTACATAAAAAATGGAAATGGCAGCAGCACAGTCTCCTTGTCACAGAGCTTCTGCCTCATTGCAGTCAGAAAAACCCTGTCTGCCTCAAGCATGGCAGAGCTGGAGCTCTTGGCTGTGCTGTTGCACGGCCATGGGCTCATAGCAGTCACAGTGGCTCCTCAGCCATGAGCGGGCACTTCTGGAAAGCCCAGGGGATGGGATGTGGAAGGAGAATAGGTTACAAAAAAAAAAAAAAAAACATTTGCTGGCATATTGGGAAAATTGCGTTGGGTCTGCTGTCGGCCTTGAAAGGGATGGAAGCTGCAAGAAAAATGACCCTCAGCCAGACCCCACAGCAAGCCAGGGCACAGTTGCTGCATCCCTCTCCCAGAGGGCAGTTGATAATCTTAGCCATTAGTCAGAGGTTGATAAAAGACATGTTCAGCCCTGGGAAGTGGTTAATAAATAGGAGAGTCAAGGTTTGCTGCGCCCAGTGCTGTACTGAGCTGCAGGAAAGGGGGAAGCTTATAAGGAGCAGTGGAGAGCCACAGAGCAATGCGGGGCTTGGAGTGTGCCTTGTGTCACACAGCATTTCATCTGGTAAATGAAGTCGTGTTCAGTGACAAGCCTGAAGCAGAAAGGCTGGGAACCAGGGAAAGCAGGCAGCAGCTTGCATCTGGCTGACTGGCAGACATCCTCGTGGGCAAGCAGGAAAGAGGCACAGCTGGGATGAAGGGGAATAGAACTTCTTTAGGGAACAGAAAACTGCACACCAGCAGATCGCAGTACCTAATTGTGAAACCTTGGATAGAGCAAAGGCCAAAAAAGACTCCCAGAGGGAGTGAGAGAGGAACATGTTCTCTGAACCCAAGAGGGGTGGGAATCTGTCAGCCTCTGACAGAAAACCAAAGCAGCCTGCCGCAGGGAAGGACAGCACTTTGTGAGACTGTTACCCCTCAGATCGCGTAGGAGCAGGTGGCCTTTAGGGTTTGTAGCCACTTCCTTATTCCTCAAGTTCTTCCTAGGCCATAGTTTCATGATCTCCTTCAGCTTCCTGTGTTCTCCATTGCAGGTGTCTCCAGCTCCGATACCAGCCCTGAGCGCAGCCTTCAGTGCCTCAGCAGGCAGGCTGCATGCAGAGGACAGATTTCTGATGTTGTTTGCTGCTCTTTGGAGCAATGTTGCTGGAGAGGCAGCTGTTACAACGTGTGGCACGCAATGACTGACTTTGGAGCTGGGGCTTACAGTGCAGACGATGCGTCAGTGGCTGGAGAAGTCTTCCTGCATGTGGCAGCAGGAACCCAGGGACACCCGTGTCCCTGCTACCTGCACACCTTTGTCCACAGCACACTGCAGGCTCTGGGACCTTCCAGCTGAGCAGCAAGGCCGTGCAGTGGCACTGCGTGTCTCACCGGGGTGCTCTGTGGCAGGAGAGGGATCCCCAGGCTGTTTGCAGGCAGGGGAATGTCAGCCTGGCCAGAGTGGCAGCTCCAGGGGAATGGTGCTCCACAGCTGTTCAGCAGGAGCACAGCAGAGACCTTTATTTCACAGCCAACCTGGCTTTGCCTCAGTTTGCAGGATGTGAGGCTATTACTTGATTCCCTGAGTGGCCTGCTTCAACATCTGCAGCAGCTGCAGCTTCAGGAACAGCAGTGGCAGCACAAGGCTGAAAGCCTTGGCTGTCCTCTCAGACAACTCGAGGCCCAGGCAGCAGCCATCAAAGGAGTTGGTTTCATTCACAGACCCTGAAGTCACGAGAAGTCCTGCTCCTTGAAGAAAAGGTACAGTCTGAGAATTATAGTTTGTGTTGGTCTTGGGCTGTCAGGACTAGCTTAGCTGCCAGCCTGCAGGCCTGGGACAGACCACGAGGGAGTTAAGAGCCAGTGCTTTCTGTGGTTTTGAGCATCTTTCCTGAAGCACTTTAATGCTGGAATTAAATAAACTGAAAAAACAAGTGACCTGGGGGTGGGGAAAGAAGGGAGGTGGAGAAGAGGGAAGGTGGTGGTACTCCAGTGAGGGAAACACCTCCTTTTTCACCCCAGAACAACGAGCCTCTTCTGGAGTTTCTGAGTTGCCTGGCCACTGCCTCCTTTCAGGAGCAGTCCACAGCACAGGCACTGATTTGCTTGAGGACGGAGCTGGAAGGGCTGTCCTATTATACGTGACCTTTCTGACTCTTCTAGTGGGCATGTAATATCCATGTTCCCTGCAGATCACCTCACTCACCAGTTTCCTAAACTGAATCCCTCCAGTACAGGGACTAGTTGCCTGCAGGCCCCACAAGAGTGGGAAGCATGCCTAAAGCAGAAGACAGCGACCCAAGGCAGGCAATGCTAAAAAAACACAGTGTAAACAAGGAAAAATCAGAAAGCTGTTGCTTTACTATAAAAGTTTTGAAAATATACAATTCCCACAGAATATAAGCACCACTGCGAAATGGGAT